TAAACACATTTCATTACACCAAATACACAACATAATGTTATTTTTAGCAACATCATATGACCCCTTTAATATCAAACTATTAAAAGTACTGAAGATGACACAGTAACGCTTTAAATTACAACCCGCAAAGAACTACGTAAGTATACTGAATTTACGGTGTACGTTTCTGTAATGATAGTGTACCAAAAATAACGTAAGGGAACAATGTGTTAAGTTTGGGTCATAAGGGGGTAACAACCAGAGATGCAACCTGCAAAGAACTGAGTAAGTAAACTGAAGTTACAGCGTAACTTTTTTGTAATAGTGTACGCATTCAGTAACTCCATGTAGGTAGGGGAATAATATGTGACGTTTGCGGAATAAAGGGGTAACAACCTGTAAAATTACAAACCATTTATACTGTAAGTATTTTGAAACTAAGAGGTACCTATTCTAATATTACATGGTATGTATAACCTAAACACTAACCTTATGTTTGGAAGTGTTTTAGAAAGACGATATTATTTTTATAATTTTACATTGGTATTTTATTATAGGCCTAGGTATTTTAACCATTCTATTATTAAAGGAAACATGATAGAGATTACTGAACAACAAAACTGGACATCTAGTGAAATGAGTTAATGAGTTTCTGCTATGATTTATATAATTCACACGTCTACCTACCTTATGAAAGCTTATTCATCGATCTCAGCTGAGTCACACCAGCAACTTCCCAGTACCACTATCACCAAATAACTTTGCATGATATACCATCAAGGTTCAATGCAGCTTAAAACAAGCTTACCACTTTCCAGCTGTTCGCAGAAAAAAAAATACATGATACAACATTTGTATTTCAGTGGATGTATACTGTGATGTTTTTATAGCAAAAAAGAGGGTTTAATTTGGCCATCAAACAATTAAATTAAAACTAGAGCAACATTTTTCTCTGTAATTACTGTGCAAATATACACTTGTTCTGTGTTTAAGCCCAACTCCTCCCTTATTCCATGTTTACAGGGTAAATACAACAGTTGCGGGCTGTAAATTAAAGTGGTGCTTGTTCCCCCTTGTTCCATGCAGTAACAGGGTAAGTGGCTACAACAAATTGCTCTGAAATTATTGTTTATACAGTAGGTCATACATACATATAGGTGCATCTCAATAAATTAGAATGTCGTGGAAAAGTTCATTTCAGTAATTCAACTCAAATTGTGAAACTCGTGTATTAAATAAATTCAATGCACACAGACTGAAGTAGTTTAAGTCTTTGGTTCTTTTAATTGTGATGATTTTGGCTCACATTTAACAAAAACCCACCAATTCACTATCTCAACAAATTAGAATACTTCATAAGACCAATAAAAAAAACATTTTCACTGTGTTTTCTGAAGTGCACAGTCAACGCAGCCATCTACCAGGACATTTTAGAGCACTTCATGCTTTCCTTCTGCTGACAAGCTTTATGGAGATGCTGATTTCATTTTCCAGCAGGACTTGGCACCTGCCCACACTGCCAAAAGCACCAAAAGCTGGATCAATGACCATGGTGTTACTGTGCTTGATTGGCCTGCAAACTCGCCTGACCTGAACCCCATAGAGAATCTATTGTCAAGAGGAAGATGAGAGACACCAGACCCAACAATGCAGATGACCTGAAGGCCGCTATCAAAGCAACCTGGGCTTCCATACCACCTCAGCAGTGCCACAGGCTGATTG